TACGTTCACCATAAATGATCTGAGGAAAAATTCCGGGGTTACGGATCTTGTGTTGGGACATGTATGATCCTCGTCTCGTTGCAGATTCTCGAAGAAAGAAACGATCCATTCTGCATGAAGGATTCTGAATTAACGAGCCGTGAAATAAAGCGCGGAAGTTCAGCCTCATCCATGATTTATTCGTTCATGAAGAAGAGCACGCGATTCACCTGTCTCCAAGACTTTTATCTTTATCTTTACTTTTAGCGTATATATAATGGCAGCTATAATAATAATACGAACATTGTGAATGGTGATACCTTTAATTATTATTTTTTTTCCGCATTTGCAGTATTTGATTTGAGAAAATTTATCTTTATTTATCTTTATTTAAGTTAAAAATTCTGAATTAAGAAAATTTGAATAACGAATAAAAAAGCCGCATCGTAAGGTACAATGTTCTCAAGCACTTTTCTGAATGAACTTTATCTGCATGCTTATAATTACTGATAACGTGTCGATTCGATAATTTATTAATGTTCAATTAACTGCGTTTACGTTGCTCGACGACTATGTAATCATAAAACCCGAAGGCAGTGATTTAAGTATACAATGACGCTAATCATTAAGAAGACCAAAAGGGTTTAGTCAGACACGCACCCCATATATGTATTTAAAAGATGGACTATCCTGTCGACATGCGAATACATAGGTACAAGTAGACGCCGATGATTTATGAGTTACGGAGATCTCAAGCTACCTTTAATATTACAAGTATTTTCGCGTGCTCGTCTTATACATATTTCTATATGATATACAGTTATTAAGCATACACAGCACACACACATATTCGAAATTAAGTACATATATTGCACAAACTCTTAATATAATTCTTTATTTAATTTGTGCACCTCCATCGAGTTAAATATGGTAAAGTTATCACATTTACAAGTACAGTTTATTTATTCTCATACAGAATGTATAGAACCTCTGCAAAGGTTAAAGAAAAATAAATGTAAATTCTGATCGTAAAGCTAAAAGTTCATTGAAAAACATTGGCAAAGTAATAGTCGAATAGCAAATTTAAATGTAATATTAATTATATTCGATTTTTATTCAATTATCATCTTTATGAAACATTTTCAATGAAAACGACGATACTTGCGACTTGCGATAGCAAGTTTCCTTTGGTAGCAATCAGAATGAAATTAGCAAGAGTGGTGAAAAAAAAAAGTCGATGAGAGATACATAGTACATACACGCAACGACGAAGCGTGTCATAAAAATCGTTCCGTTTCTTTCGCGGTTTTTTAGCCGAATGTCAATGTCACGAACGAAAAAAAAGGAAGAAGAAACGTAGAGAAACAGAGGAGAGCAGTCGTGATTCGAAGGCTTCAGTATACCGAGTACCTTTGGCTTATAAATAACCGGCGCGCCTCTTTGCGTCCCTTCGCGCGCGCTTTTCTTTTCCTCCTCTCTTTCTTTCGCGCAATCCGTACGTACCTCCGACGCACGAGAGTTTTTGCGTTCAGAGACCCCGTAATTCAGGTTCCCTCGCACGTACGCCATGCGCAACGCAAAGGTAATTAACGTCGGTGTTGAGAAAACCGCCGACCGTTGCGCCGATTTTGTCCGACAAAAGGAACACCGAGAATTTCGGTGTTGATTGTCCGGGTTGCTTTTTACGCGCGCGCAAGTAGCGACACGTTGTTCGACTTGCGTTGTACGAAACCGTAACACATTACTGATGCATGTGATACGAAAAGTGTTTCTTGGTATCGCGAAAAAAAGAAGAGAGAGATGCTCCCCGAGTCGGCCGGACCGGTAGTTACGGACCACACGAATTCATTAGGACGATGATTATTTATTGCCGTGGCGAAAGAAACGAGAAAACACATCTCTGTGGGTCCAAAGCCCTTATTAGAAAAATCTATCACTTGTCAAGTAATTACATCGACCGTATATTTTTTGTTCTTTGTATATATATATTTAAAAAGTACAATTTTGCTCAAAGTCAGTAGTTGCAATTCGAACGTTTATTGATTACGCGAACAATTATGTAAATGATTATTACATGATCCATGATAAAAAATGAGTTAATAAATTAAAAATAAGATGGAGCGCTAACAAGTTAGATTTTTGTGTTAATAATTATATTTTTTTAAATGTAATCGTATAAGTTTAATTTTGCATATTTTGCAAACACATTTCAATCTGTAATAAGGCCATCTTCAATATAATGGTCGAGTTTTGATAATTTATAAAATAAATAGAAAAAATGAATACAATAATAACGGTTGAATCGCTTAGATATCGATTAACATTAAAAAATTGTTATAAAGCTTGTCAAAGAATAAAAATTTCTCTTATGGAAAGAATGATTTTGCTGAAATATCTAAAAATTTAGCTGAAGGCAAATCTGAAAATAATTTTGTTGTACCATCAAAATAATTATACAAAATAATTTTGTAGGATGCTCATGAGTAATACTATAAAAAATTTTGATATAACAATCAGCTTGAGAGTGCTATATAATTATTCAGATTAACAAAATTATTTTCAAATCTATAAATTCAGGATTGGGTAGTAAGTAGTTGAAACGTTAAAAATTAAAAAAAAGTTAAAAAGCTAATAACTTTTAACTTAACTTAATTAATTTTAAATGCATTAATTCTTAACTTAATTTAGTTTTAAACAATAATTTATTAACTTGTTTAAATTAAAAATTTTTCTATCTTTCTTAATGCTAATATTTTTTTTCTATAAAGTCTTAAACATTAGAGAATTTATTTAAAAAAAGTTCAATGATTTTATGAGAGATTCTATAATAAGAGTCATACCATGTGGTGCCAGTTTTTGACTCACTAGATTTTGTCAATTCCCGCTTATATTTGAATCATACTAATTTTAAGTATCACAAACGTTATATTTCAGCAACATAAATATAAAATGAGCCTTAAATGAAGAATTGTTGTAGAACAGTGTTGCACATCTACTCATTTTCTAAATTTTTACGTATATTTTTTGTAACAAATATCTAATCGATGTCGTAAACATGCATGAACAGTCGCATGAACGAACGTTTCAGAAGTTAAAGAAAGTTAGATAAGGATTAAAGAAAGAAATAATGTATCCTTCTCTCTCGCAAGATTTTGACAAAAACATCTTATTGTGTGACTCTTATTATATATAAGTAACATGTGGATATAAAATTAAATTTGCCTAATAATCTATATTTGTAAGGGTTATTTAAAGTAATCTCATTTTAAGAAAAATTAGGGCATTCTGATCTCAAAAATAATTATTTTCAAAATTAATTTTTTTTTAAACTTAAGTTAATTTATTCTTAACTTTATTAAGTTAATTCTTTGTTCCTTTAACTTTTAACTTAATTTTATTAATTTTATAAGCCATTAACTTTATTTATTAACTTAATTTATTTAAAAAAAAAAAACATTAACTTACCCAATCCTGATCAAATTTTTTTAGATATTTTTGCAAAACCATTCTTTCCGGGATTAGAATGGTGTCATCAGTCATCATGATTGTTATGTTAAAATTCCGATACTGAAAAGATTTAATACTTCTACTACTTTATTTATTATTTTAATAAAATATTTATATTTATTTTAATAAATTGAGTTTTCAGACAGATTTAGCAGCAAATATTTTTACGAGGTACGCTTATTTGTCACTTTAATGGTCCCATGTAAAATATGTAAATGATAGCAAGACATCGAGCATTATAATACTTTTGGGACAACGAACCGCTAATCAGTATTTTCGACAGGACCACTCCATAGATATACACGGTGGCAATAATATAACTCATCTCGTTTAAAGTGTTACCCATGTCTGGTTTACCGCTATTTAACACGATATCGATCATCTTCGAGAGGAGATCAATTTAAAGAAGACTGTGAGCGAAAAAAGGGTCCACGTGGCATCGGCAAAAGAACTAGCAGGTGTAACTTGCTTTCAATGTGTGTGTAATTATGCAGCGAGAAGTCTATTCAAGATAAAAAGTACAATAGATAATTACTAGATTGATCAAAGAGAAAGGCAAGGACCAATTAGTCGAGAAATATCTTGATAAGACAATTGTTGCGAAGATTTGAAGGAAAAATAAAATTGCTGAGTAACGTCATATTATTTTAAGGAATCTTGATAAAATGAAACATACAATATAATTATGCAATGTGTTTCTTCTGAATTTTCAGATGTGATCACGTATTATACATTATGTGTAATATATAAGTTACGTATTTATATTATTCACAATTTTAAAAGATTTTATGTGGTTCTGTTATTTTTCTTTACTTTTGGAATGATATTATTACATATTATCGTGATTAGAATATTTTTATGGATTGAATTTTACATTAATAGCGCAATTTATACACAAACATTTTTTAATTTGCATATTATACCGTATAGATACGTTATCCTAATTGGCACACTATTATGAAGGAATCATTTCAGAGAAAAAAATAAACAAACCATGACAGACGCCACATTTGTATGCGCAGCTATATTTTGAGAGAGTTTTTTCAAAATTCTACAATATATTGTAAAATATTTAAAAATATTACTTTAAATTATCGCATATTTGTTTTGTATCATTTATTTGAATTATTTCAATGTGTTCATACCGCAATGATTGTTATTGTAATGCGTAGGGAAAAACGTTTTCCGCTCAAATACCGTTGGAAAATTTAGATAAGAAAGTCTCGTACTTCTAACGGATCTTCCGAAAAGAAAAAAAAATCTATCTACCCACACAAGGCAAAAACCGCAACCATAGTTGGTTCTAGCGGTCGCGGAATCAACCGTAAAAGTGTCACTGATCGATTCCAGAGGATGACGCTGCTCTGTTCATTTATTCCGCGCACAACGAAGCGTCCTGCTTGAAAGATTCATTCAGCATTCCCGACATTTTTTCTCGATAGCCCAACGGAATCGGCAACGCAATCCGCCCATCTCTCTATTCTTAATACCAATCTAAAGTAAGTATCACTTACATGTCAACATAAATCCACCTAGTTTGTAACTGTCAACCGAAATTTTTCGAATTAAAGCTTCGCTGTTATTGCCGAACTTGACTACGAATCCATTCTTCAGCCTGTTTTTTGACATTCGCAATTATTTTGCCCTTGCATGTTTCTTTTTTCTTTACAACCAATTACAGTTAAAACCGATAATCGCACAAGGTCATTTCTTATTGTACCTGCTCTCGAGTTACCTGCCGTATTGTTCCTGCTCTCGAGTTTTCTGCGCCTCCTCAGAATCATCTTCCCGCCGTACTGTTTCCTTTGTTCGGTTCCTCGTTCGATCTATCGAATCCAAGGACGAGACTGAATCATAGCTTCGTGTCGGCTATCATTAATGGTCTATAAAATTCTGATTTCATCGCACTTATGTCTTATGACCGTCGCTACAAGAGGATTATCGGTACGGAACATATTTGATTTTTTTTTTTTCTAATAGTCCGAATTGTTTTCTTCGAGAAACTCTCGACATTTGCAGCCATTAAAAATCTTCTTTATCTCAGTTGTACGATGTTAGAATAAGCTGCGGCAGATGAGATGTTCAGTGGCTATAAAATGTTGAGACAATTGTACTTAGACAATTCATAAAACTTCAGTAACTTATAATTATATCAATCTGCCATTAGACGTATAATAATATTCTATTTAAAAAGTGTGTTATAATGAATAATTTTAGAACAGAATATTCTAACAGGAATATGTCTTTACGGTTAAAAAATATTTTCAGAGCAATGTCATATTTAAATCACCTTAAATCACCTCAAATCCAGTTTGTGCACGGCGATATTATTAAAGACACGCTCATCCTTGACCCAGAAAAAGACTGGATTTCGTGATCGAAATCATTATTGCTGTTGACAGCGATACGTTAAATTTCACGGATCAAATTAATCGAGACATATCTCAATAACCGTTTCGCATATATTTTTTTCGGAATTTCGGCGACTCTTCTTTCTTATCGAGCTTTTAAATATTTATTATGTAGGTATTAATATACACAATTTTTTATATTACAACTTTTTTGCATAGCAATTAATATAATAACAATATTATAATAATATAACAAATTTAATTATGTAATAATTATATAACAATTGTAATTATAAAAAATTATATAATTATATAATAATGACATTAATAATAACAAATAAAAGATCATCTTATTTATTGTATATGTCAATCGAAAATCGAGAAAATATGCATACGTATAGATATTTCTTTTACTTCTGTTACGTCAAATTTATTCAATGATGATATTCAATGTATTCTGACCGGATATTTCCTTCGAGATTATTTAACAAACAAAGTGTAACGGCATCTTTACAAAAGAATTTAAAGAAGACATTATCATTTTCGGATATCGTAATGGAATCACACCGCTTTATATTTGCAGCAACGAGCGTTAAGTAACTGTATTTTTCATCATTAAAATGCAATGAGATATTATAAAGCTATTTTTTAATAATTAAAAATTTTAATAATTAAAAATGTGATCTCGAAATGATTCATATTGTAATATTATATTTTGACATTTATAGACCGGTTAAGTGAGATTTAATCGTCCACATTGATATGATTAATAAAGGAATTTATCATATCATTCAATTGCAGATTCTCCTTTTCGATTATCGCTCCAAGCCGTGCTCCATTATATCTATTTTTGTAATAATTACATCTGAATTTGCTTCGCCATAAACCAAACTATGTATCATTTCATCTGAATGATTTATGTGCAGAAAATGTCTTGCATTTTAATATATAAATATTTTCTAATTTATTTCAAAATTTTTCCTTTCTCAGTCCTTTTTTTATATTTTTACAAGATATGATTTAACTTTACCATTATTATAATAAATACAAATAATTATATTTATATTTATAATATCTGTTTATAATATTATAAATGCAATTATAGTATATAATATTATAGATACAATTATTTTTTGTACATGTTGCGTGTTTCTAAAACAAAATAATTCATTGTAAAAACACTATAGAGAGAGATACAATCTAAATTCGAATCTTTAAAACACTCTCCTAGAAAATCGAGCATTTTCAAAATTTTTTTTACGCCTCAGCATTACGGAAGTGCTAAAGGAAATTTAATTGATTGAAATCTACTGATACAATGAATTCTTGGGTAATATAGAATTACCGTTGCTTTTCAGGCATTTAATACATTTATATGCATCTATACTGCATTTTTTAATGTTGCTGCTGTGCAAATTTTCTTTACGATCATATTATTCAATGACTTGGAAGAATCTTTAACGGTACATGTGTCGATGTGATACTTCTGCTGACTCGTCAATAAACAAATACAAGTGGTGTGCAAATTAGTTGTAAAGTATGGCTCGCTTTTTGGGGATTCCCGAGCAAGAAGTGTTCAGGATTCTTTATTCGAAAGTTTCTCAAGCATTACTCGTTTACAACGCTAAATAAATAATATTTATTTATATAAAATTATATTTATTTATATTATTATCTACGATTTACAAGAGAAGGTTTTAAAAATTCTTGCATTATTATAAAGGAAAATAATTAATTAAAAAAAATTGAATTATTATAATCCAAGAATTAATTAATAGTTCATATT